AGTTTTGGACGCCTATCCCAAACTTCTTTTTTGAGCCAGAAAGACAGCAAGGTCCAGTCCCCAGAACCTTGCTTTAATGAGAGCTTAACAGCCACCTCCCGTACAACTCAAAACTGGGTCTTCGCCCACTTTCCCCGCAGAACCTGGAGTCCGGAACCACAGGAATTCAGCTCCCATCTCCGACTCCGCCCCCCAGGTCCCGGCGCCCCCTACCGGCACCAAGGACGGTTTTCCTTCAGGGATTCCAGCCCTTCTGACCCCGGGACCCTATACACTACCCAGGCATCCTGGCTGTAGTTCCTAGCTGCCACTCGGGGCTGGGCAGGCCAGGACCCCTGGCGGGCTGTTCTGCGCTCCCGGCCTTCGCTCGCTTCCGGAAGGTAGTAGAGGCGGCTCCTCCCGAAGCGGCGGCGGCGGGGGCGGGTGAGTCACGCAGCCGGAGCCAGGGAGCCGGCACCTCCGCCCCTTCTCGGGCTGCGGCGTGATTCACCCGGCCCGGCCTGGTGGGGCGGCATGTAAAAGCCGGCGCGTCTCTACCCCAGGCAGCCCGGACGAGCATCTGCCGGAGCCGGGGATCGAACCCTATAAACGACCCTACCGCGGGTACCCCTTTTCGCCCCAGGGACCCTTCATTTACATACCCAGCTCACTAGCTGCCAATCAGAACGAAGAGGTAGACACCCGCAGCCAATCAGGAAACGGCAGCGGCAGCATCGCTCGCTTGCTCTCCTTCAGCAACCGGCGCCTGGGTCGCGAGACGCCGTTCTGACTCCGCGGCAAGACTCCAGACTCCTGACTCCCCTTAGCTACCGCCCACTCCCGTGGAGGCCCCGCCCCCACCCGGGGATTGGCTCTGGACGGCCATGGGTGGAGTCTGTAGGGGGCAGGTCCAAAAGGAGAGGAGGTTTGCTTCTGGACGCCTTGCTGGGGGAGTAAGTGCCAGAAGAGGGGATAGATCCTGGAGGGACCACGGCAGTGGGTGCGTAGGGGTTCTTACGTCGCAGAGTACGGGGCCCTCCAGACCTTCCACACCTACCTCCACACCTACTCTTGCCAAACCCAGCTATTGAACTTCTTAACCCAACAAGGATCTACTCTGAAGGTGCAAATCCTGACTCACTTCATGCTTGACCTTGGAAAAATGCTTCATCTCCCTGAGCCACACACAGTCTGTTAAATGGGTATCTTCTTGCCTACTTTTTGAGTTAGGAAAGTTCACATGATACACAGTGATTGAATGTAAAAAAATAAATTTTTTAAAAATAATTTTTTTCTTTTTTTTTTTTAGATGTTTTTTGCTATAGGGCTCGTGTGCTCACCAGACAGAGAGACAGAAAGCGAGAAATCACCCCCCAGGGGGGGTGGCCACGCTGGAATCCCTTCTCCTCCATTCTCCTCTTGGGATCTTGGGCACGCACGCACACGTGCCCGGCGTGAGTTTTAAGCCATCAGGTCTAGACCTTGAACCGCGGTCAACTACTTGGGAGTCCAGTGACAGCCATTACGCTAACTGCTGGTCCCAAAAATAAATAAATTTTTAAAATTGTTATCTGTAAGAGCATTATACCAGACTCACCAAATGTTGGGCAGTTGCTCTCAATCTTATTCAAAGATAGGAGTGAGGTGGGTTGGGATGTCACCAAGTCACATCCTGACTCCATACCTTAAATAAATACCTGTGTAACCTGGGACAAGTGTTTTAATCCTTAGAGTCACAGTTTCCTCATCTTTTTTTTTTCCCTCTATTTTTTAGGTTTGTGCCATAGGGCACATATGCTTGCAGGATAGAGACAGAGAGGGAAAGTGAGAAATCATTCCTCAGGGGGATGGCCATGGTGCAGTCCCTCCTCCACTCATCTCTTGGGATTTTGGGTACACGTGCACATGTGTCAAGCATGATTTTCAAGCTGTCAGGTCCCGGGCTGAAATGGTGATGAGTAAATGAAAAAAATAACCAGCTTCCGATTCAGAGAATTGTTCTGAGGATTAAATAGAGCAATTTGTGCAAAATGCCTAAGGGATATGCAATGTATCCTTTTGCTGTCATAAGACAAGAGCTTAGTTCAAAGTAGGGAGACAGGCCTGATGGGGCTAGAGGTAGACAGAAGTTTAATGTATGTCAGATAAACTGGTAATGGGACTTGCCTTCTTTACAGGGCTCATTTGCTAACTCTGGAGCTGTGGGAAGAACTGTTGGTTGTTGCAAATAAGTTTCTCGCTAAAGCAAACTCTCAAAAATGCTAACTAGGGCCAGCTCCACGATTTGGTGGTAATGTTCTGCTCAAGAGGAGCTGAATCCCACTTGGTGACCACAGTTTGAATCCCCCTGTGAGTCCCAAAACATGCTTGGCACATGCACAAGTACCTAAGATCAGATAGGCCAGAGGACTGGAGGAAGGTGATTGCAGCATGACCACATCCTGTGGAGAGTGCTCCACTCTTCCCCTCCTCTCTCTTCCCCTTCCAGTCACACCAGTCACACATGTACATGCTCTACCACGAATTAAAAGAAAAAAAGAAAAGTTTAACAACAAAAGAGCTAGTTGGTGGCAAAGTGCCAAAACGTGAGGCTCGGCAAGGCTGATCCACTTGGGAAGGCTCTGGGTTCTCTGGAGATCTCTGAGTATGTATGGTAGTGATCCGGGCCTGATTAGGGGTGGAATGTAGCGTTTCTTTTGCTCATGGGAAAAATAAACATTTTATTTTATTTTTAGGTTTTTACCATGAGCACCATGGTCTGGGGCTCACCCTGCACAGCTGACCATGTAGGATTCAGCCATCTTAACCTTGACACCACCTGCTAGGTTGGTGGGAGAGTATTTGGATGCACAAAATTACTTTTATTTTTCATCTTTTCATGCACTTCAATCTTTCTTTCATAATAAAGGATAAAATGCTAACTAGAGGAGCTAGCAGTGGCATGGTGGTGAAGGCACTGGAGTCCTATATGGCTAAATGCGTTTCAAATCCCCAGGCGTGGTAGCTTGAGGATCATGCTGGGCGTGCGTGTATGCTCTCTGGAGAGAGACAGAGAGCGAAAGTGAGAAATTACTCCTCAGGAGTGATGGCTACACCGCAGTCTCTTCTCCTCTATTCTTCTCTTGGGATTTTGGGTGTGGACACACACATGCCTGGTGTGAGTTTCAAGCCATGGGTCCCAGGACTCAAACCACAGTCCGCCATGTGAGAGTCCAGCACCTTAACCACCACACCACCTGCTAGTCCCAGAAATAAACATGTTTTATTTTTGGAGCGATTTTTGCTATAGCGCACGTGTGCTTGCCAGAAAGACAGAGAGAGACAGAAAGTGAGAAATCAGGGGGAATGGGCATGCTGCAATCTTTTCTCCTCCATTCTCCTCTCAGGATCTTGGACATGCATACACATGTGCCCGGCATGAAATAAGCCACCAGGTCCGGGACTCGAACCGCAGTCACTGTTAGTCCCATGTGTTTTTGTTTGTTTGTTTGTTTAATGCCCACTATAGTAGTTGATTCAGGAAGCAATTATGTTCAAACCTTTGGGTGAGAGGTTGGTGGGAAAAGGGATCTTGAGAGGCGCTGAAGCATCACTCTAAAGATTACTTTGTCAATCACAAAGCAGGGAAGATGAACGTCTCCCCAAAATTCATGGAAAGTGAATATTACAAAACATCTATTCATGTATTGCAACTTATTTACATCAAAATAAGCTTGTATTGGGGCCAGCAGGTGGCATGCTGGTTGAGGCACTGGACTTCCCACATGGCTGACAGCAGTTTGAGTCCCGGACCTGGTGGCTTTCTTTCTTGCTTTCTCTCTTTCTGTCTCTGTCTCTGGTGAACTCATGTGGAAAAAATATTCATCATAATAAATAAAATAAATAATCCTTTTTTTAAAAAAAAGCTTGTATTTTGGGACCAGGAGTTGGTGTAATGGCTGTGTCACTGGACTCCCATATAGTTAACCGCGGTTCGAGAAAGAAAGCACTACAAAGGATTGGGAAAGAACATTCCCTAATTAAAGATGGTATATTCTTTTTCTCATTTTCTTTTTTAGTTGCCAGAGGGTGCCTGTGCACAAGAAGGGGAGAGAGAGACAGAGAGAGAGAAAAAGCATGCTCCAATAGGGCATGGTCACACCACAATCCTTTTTCATTTCTCCATCCTGTTGGGATTTGGGGCATACATGCACACACACCCCATGTGTTTCCAGCTCCCCTAACCATTGGCCACAGGGCCATTATAATATGTAATGTTTTTTTAAGAACTTTTTTTTCTTTTTCTTTTTTTAGAGAGGTGTTTTTTTTTTTTTTTTTTTGCTACAGGGCGCATGCGCTCGCCAGACAGACAGAGAGAAACAGAGAGACAGAAAGCGGGAAATCACCCCCCGGGGGGATGGCCACGCAGCAATCCCTTCTCTCCCATTCTCCTCTCAGGATCTTGGGCACGCACGCACACGCGCCTGGCATGAGTTTAAGTCACCGGGTTCGGGACTCGAACCGCGGTCAACTACGTGGGAGTCCAGCAACATAGCCATTACGCTAACTGCTGGTCCCACAATATATAATTTTTAAAAGGCTTTTGCCATAGAGCACATACACTTGCTAGAGGGACTGAGACAGTGAGAGGGAAAGTGAGAAATGACTCCCCAGTGGGATGGCTATACCACAATCCCTTCCCCTCCATTCTCCTCTGGAGATTTGGGCATGCACATACATATACCCAGTGTGATTTTCAAGTCACTGGGTCTGGACTTGAACTGCATAATCAGCCATGTAGGATTCAGCCATCTTAACCTCCACACCACCTGCTGGTCTGGTGGGAGGGAATTTGGATGCTCAGAAATATTTTTTTTTCCATCTTTTCATATACTTGAATCTTTATTATTATTATTATTATTTTTCATAATAAAGAGAGGGGAACCAGCAGTTAGCATAATGGCTATGTCGTTGGACTCCCATGTAGTCAACCGTGGTTCAAGTCCTGGACCTGGTGGTTTAAATTCACAGCAGGGGTGTGTGTGTGCGTCCGCAAGATCCCGAGAGGAGAATGGAGGAGAAGGGATCATGGCGTGGCCATCCCCCCTGGGGGGTGATTTCTCGTTTTCTGTCTCTATGTCTCTCTCTGTCTGTCTGGTGAGCGCACACGCCCTATAACAAAAACCTCTCTACAAAAATAAATAAATAAATAAAATAAAGAGAGGATAAAATGCTAACTACAGTAGCCAGCAGGTGGCACGGTGGTTAAGGTGCTGGAGACCTACATGGCTGAATCCTATTCAAATCCCCAGATCCCATTGTTGAGGATCATGCTGGTCGCATGTGTATGCGTGCCAAAAATCCTGAGAAGAAAATGGAAGAGAAGAGATTGCCATGCCCCTGAGGGTATGATTTCTCACTTTCCCTCTCTCCATCTGTCTCTGATGAGCATACGCATTCCTATGGCAAAATCTAAAAAAAGAAAGAAAGAAGAAAGAAAACAAAAGAAAGAAAGAAAGAAAGAAAGAAAGAAAGAAAGAAAGAAAGAAAGAAAGAGAAAAAGAAAGAAAGAAAGAAAGAAAGAGAAAGAAAGGAAGAAAAGAAATGCTAATTAGAACCAGGCCCCCATGGGACCAGAAGTTG